GATTTTGTGCTGTCAGAGGGACAGAGCCTTATGATAGCCTCCTTAATCATGGGATCCTCTGCCTCTCCCTGTCCTTTCCTGCCTGTCCCTGTCCTTCCCTGCCTGCTGCTACCCAAAGCAGAGCACAAGGGGAGCACAGAGGGTTTTGGAGGAGCCAGGAGCAGCCTGGGGTGCTGATAACCGCATACCTCCGGGTGTTGGACTTATCTCTGAGCCCAGCTCCAGCCCCTTCGTCACTGCCCTGTGGTGCCTTTAGCCATGGTGAGGCTCTCTGAGGTCCCAGGGGCCATTATTTGTCACCCCGTGGGGTTGTCAGGGCCTAGAGGCAATCTCACTCCCCAGGGCGCTTCCTGGCCATAGATGCACTGTCAGTCCTGTCCCTGGCTTGCTGCACCTTCCCAGGGCTGGAGGAACGGCTCCAAGATCCCGAGGCTGCCTGGAGGAGCTGGATCAGCCAATCCCACACAGAGACAGGCTGATTCCCGAGCTGGTGCCAGAGATACAGACTGATTTATTTTCCATGTATTTGGGTCTTTTCCAGCCGTATTTTAGCTCCTCTACACCCTGGCATGTCTGGCTGAGCATGACCAGCCCCGACTGCCACCTCTGGGTCCTCCCACCCCTCATGGCATGCCAAAGCCAGGCTGCCACAACCCTTTCCACACTCTCAGGAATCATTTTGGTGCAATGGATGTTTGCCAACCCTGATCCTGGAGAATTGGGTTTGACCCCAGCACTCAGCACTCAGCAACCAGGACCCAGGACCCAGCTCCCAGCACCTACCATCCCAACTCCCACCTCCCAGTGCCCTGCACCCAGCTCCCCATCACTGAGCTCCCAGCACCCATATCCCAGATCTCCAGCTCCCGGCATCCTGCATCCATCACCCAGCATTCCATGTCTCAGCATCCCAGCACCTCCAACTCCCCACGCCCCGGATCTCACTGTTCCCAGCACTCCCAGCATGCATCAGCCACTACTTCCATCTCCCGGCTCTCTCCACTCCCATATCCCAGTGCTTCCAGTGCTCCCAGCATCCATCTTCCAGCGCTCCCAGGTCACCCAGCTCTCCACACCCATATCCCAGTGCTTCCAGTGCTCCCAGCATCCATCTTCCAGCGCTCCCAGCTCACCCAGCTCTCCACACCCATCTCCCAGTGCTTTCAGCGCCCAGCTCCCAGTGCTCCCAACTCCAGCATCCATCTTCCAGCGCTCCCAGCGCCGAGTTCCCAGCGCACCCAGCTCTCCACACCCGTCTCCCAGTGCTCCCAGTGCTCCCAGTGCTCCCAGTTCCCGGCCGCTCCCCCGCCCTCGAGCGCTGCGGGGCGCCAGAGCCAGACACGCGTGCCCCGCCTGGCCCCGCCCACCGCTCCATATAAGGCTATGGCCACGCCCAACAAGGAAGTATCGCTTCGAACGTCCCCACCCCTGCCGTGGCCCCGCCCCCAGCGCGTGCGCTGCCGGCCCCGCCCACGAGCGGCACCCCCATTGGCCCCGCCCCCCCGTGTCCCCCAGATGTCCCCTCCGCCCCTCCCATGTCCCTCTCTCTGCCTCTGTGTCCCCAGACCTGCCCAGGTCCCCAGTGCTTTCATCCCTGGTGTCCCTCTGTCTCTGGAATCCTCCCGTGCCCCACCATGTTCTCTCTGCCCCGTGTTCCTCCGATGTCCCCTGTCCCCCGCATGACTTCTACATCCCCCTATCTGCTCCATGACCTCTGTGGGCCCTGTGTGCCCTTGTGGCTCCTATGTCTCCCCCATCCCCAGTGTCCGCTGCCTTCCTGTGTCCCCTTCATGTTCCCCTGGTCCCCCCAAGGCCTCTGAGCACCCTCCTGTGTCCCCATGTCCATGGTGTCCCCTGTCCACATGTCCTTCGTGTGCCCTAATGTTCCCTGTGCCTCCCAAGTCCTCAGTGCTCTCCATGTCCCTATGTCACCTGTGTCCCCACACACGGCTGGCACATGTGCTGAGTCTTCCTTCCCGGGGAAATGGGGAGCAGGGACCGTGTCCCCCCTGAGTGATGGGAACAGGGGCCGTATCCCCTGGAATAACAGCGAGCAGGGACTGTGTCCCCCTGAGGTCTTCAAGCCTTTCCCTCAGGCACAAAGGTTCAAGGACAAGAGACACCCAGGACCCATGACGTGACCCTGTACCCCTGTCCCAGCACCAAGGTCTGCAGCTGAGCCCTGCAGTGACACCGTTTATTGTAGGACCTACAAGAAAGCAGAGGCAGCTGAATCTGCACAGAAGGTCCTGACTCAGCCCAAAATGGGGGGGGGGGCCTGCGCGGGTGCTCGGGGTGAACCACGGGGGTCTGGTGGGCACCCCCTGGGCAGCACAAGAGGGTTTGGGATTGGGGGAGTCACCTGGGAATCCCATCCCGGCCGTGCTGGAAGATCCCCCAGGCAGATGGGGACAACTTGATTCCCAAAGCAGGAATACATAGCTGCCTGGGTGCGAATACTCATGATTAATTAATTAATTAGATTAATGAATTAATTTTATAAGGTACGAGGAGAGGGTGTCCATGGTGGATATTTTGGATTGGCCACCTTCCCAAATCCGAAAGCAAAGGTGTGGGACAGGGCCGGGTCAGTGGCCGGTAAATGAAGTACTGTCGGTAACGAGACAATCCCAAAGGATGGATTGATCTGCTTGTCGATCTCTGCACCAGCAGCCAGCTTTTCCTGCTGCTGATGTCCCATGGATGTGATGCTCCGTCCAGAGGGAATGCGGCTCCCGAGGGATTCATCCTCCAGCCAAGTGCTCGGTCCCGGCACATTCCGCAGGGACGTGGGTGCTGCCAGCCTTCCACAGATCCTCCAGACCTCAAATCTTTGTCCCTCCTGGCCTTTTTCTGCTCCTTTTCCTGCTGTCATTGGGACCAGCGTCAGGCCAACACTGACATCAAGTGGCGGCCGGGATCCCTCACATTCCTGGGCTGTCTCCTCTCTCCGTGCGCCGGGAGCTGCCCAGCACCGCCTCACCGTGCCCCGGAGCGGGACCGAGCGGCTCAGAGCCGCAGGTGCAGGCTGTTCATGGTCGCTCCCGGGCGGGCGGGATGCATCCAGCCGTGCTCCATCTGCCTGACCCCAGCCAGGCCACCCCCGTGTCCTATCCTGTCCCCGGCAGTCGATATCCCAGCGGGGTCGAGCCGAGCGCTGGCGGCACCGCCGGGCCCGGAGCATCCGCATATCCCTGAGCCCCGGGAGCCGGGGGGACCCTGCCCACGGCATCCCTGCCCCAGCTCTGCCCCGCTGCCGGCAAGGTCGTGGTGACCCCGCCACTACCCTGGGGACATTTGTCCCCTACGCCCTGCCAGAGGCCGTGGACTTTGTGCCGAGCCTGGGAGCGGCACTGGGACGCGTCTGGCGGCGCTGGCACGGCCCCAAATCTCCCCGAGACCTGGCTCCGGACAACAGGTAACCCCAGGTGACAAGCCCTCTGCCCCGGCTGCTGTGCCACCAGGCTCCCCAGGGATTTCGGGTCCCTGTGCGGTGCCACTGCCTGATCCTCGGGTCTGGAATCAGCTCCGGGAGGAAATCTCGGTGTTCCCATTTTAAATCTGGGCCAAGGGCAGCACCAAGCGCCAGAGCGGCTGCACGCTCCTACTTTTGGGGGATAAAAGCTGGGAAACATATTTTTCCTCCAAACCACCTACTTTGGAAGCCCGGAGGAGTTTTGCAACTCCTCATTCACCTTCACCCCCCTTTCCCTGAAGCCGAAGCCCGGGGCTTGTGTTGGGACGAGTGACAGCCGCTGGGATATTGGCTACAGGTGGAGCAGGGACGAGGGGCAGGTGTGGGTGTTCAACCCCTCTGCAGGAACCCACCCATGGGGTGGGACGGAGGCGGGGGTTGGCCGGGGCTGAGCTGGCTGCGGATTTAACCCGTGAGAGGCCCCAGATTCTGTATAGGGGCTGAGAGGGAGGAGTAAGGGATCTCTGCTCTGTAATGAGGTGTGTCGGGTCTCTGCAGCCGCCCTACCCTGCGGTTTCTCTGCCTTAGCTCTGTGTTGCAGAGCTATAGCCCTGCATGGTGCCACACGGGGCATGGTCTGGCGACAGCTCCTGAGTAGTTGGGGTTGTTTATCCCCCAAGTCCGGAAGCGCTCTGCTGGGAAGGAAAGGGAGGGGAGAATCAGGGCTGTTCCCAACATCGGAGTGGGAGGAATGCTCCCAGCTGTACCCTGAGACATCCCCATATGCGTGGTCCCAGTTGTCCTCAACCTCCAGCATCACCCCTTCCCTCCCTCCCCAGCTCCCCGGTGGCTCTGCAGTGACTGGGAAAGGTCAGGGACCTGCAGGTGGCCTGGGACAGGAGGGACTGAACAGTAACAGGTCAGTGCTGTGACTCTTGGGTTGGGGTTTGGGTGCTGTTGTGCTGTTGCCTGACACCCTTGGGTATCATTGTTTGTCCTCCCAACCTTTCTGGGGACAGAGTGTGGAGGGGATGTGTAAGGAAACAGCTCCTTTGCCCTACAAGTGTGGTTTTCCTGGGGATTTCCTGGCTGATGTAAGATAGTGCATGGGAAAAACATCGGCTTGGAGCCTAAGGGGCTTCTGGAAAGGGGTTGTCCCCATCCAAAAAGGGTCCTTGCTTTAAAATCTGGCTTGGTCTCTTTGGGCCCACCAAGAGGGACCCCTCAGGGGGGATGGGGAGTGTGGGTGCCTGTGGAGTAATGCCAATGGTCTCCTGTGGCGGGCAGAAGCTGCAGAGCCCCAGGGAGCAGCTGGAGCAGAGACTCAGCCATTGCCTGCCCCAGCACCCTTGTCCCATCTTGGAGCTGCCAGAGCCTGGGGGACACATTCAGTGCCTGTCCTGACTGTGCAGCACCCTGTGAGGAGCCGGTGGCACCACCATGTCCCAGGCAGAAGGTACAGCAGAGCCCTGGGTCTGTCCCCAGGGAGGCACAGGGGACCCCAGCAATGGTGTGACCCTTGTCCATCCCTCCTATGCACCAATCTCCATCCCATCGTGGCCCCATTTCTCTTGGATTTTTGATCCTAAAAGCACCTTTCACCCCAAACCTGACTCGCAGGGTGCTGGGCTGCCCCAGGAGCTCCTGTCCCCGTGTTCTCCCCAGGTGTCATCCACACTGTGTGGGGAGGGTGCTTGGTCCCAGATGGAGCAGGGGGATACAGAAATTAGCACTAGAGGGGAAGACAGGCCCCTGGTCCTCAAAGCACGAGGAATCCCTGCATGGCCCACCTTAATCCATCCCCCAGGAGCTGAGGAGGCCTTTGAACACCGTGATGTGGTCATCAACACCCAGGACAAAGTTTCAGATCTGTACACACAGCTGGAGAAGCTGGGGGAGTAAGTGAGGGTCCCGTGTCCCCATCACCTGGGGATGGCCCGAGGCTGTCCATGAGCAGCCCTGGTGGGATGCAGGTGAGTGGTGGTGGTTCCTCCATCCTCATCCTCCCTCTGTACCAGGGGGAAATTCGGGACAGTCTACAGGCTGCAGGAAAAGGCCACCAGCAAAATCCGGGCTGGGAAATATTTCCGGACACGCACAGCGAAGGAGAAGCAGGCGGCTCGGGCCGAGGTGGAGCTGATGAACCTCCTGCATCACCCACGCCTCGTGCAGTGCCTCGACGCCTTCCAGGGCCCCACTGAGCTGGTGATGGTGATGGAGTAGTGAGTGGGGGTAGTCAGGGGGTTTGGGGGTGGTGGGGCAGTGCTGGGCTCTGCCAGGGGGAGCACTGGATGTGGGGACGGGTCCCTTTGCTGTGGATCGGGAACCCGGTAACTCTGGAGGTATGAGTGGTGAGGTCCTCCCAGAGCCCTGAGTCTGGGTTCTCTGGTGGGACTTCCCTTCCTCGGGGCTGTAAGACCCCAAAGGGTCCCCAGCACCTCGTTGTCCCCAGCGTGGCAGGGGGGGAGCTCTTTGAGCGCATCGTGGACGACGACTTCGAGCACACAGAGCCCAGCAGTGCCCAGTATGTGCAGCAGATCCTGGAGGGGCTGCAGTTCATGCACGGCCAGGCCATTGTCCACCTTGACCTCAAACCCGAGAACATTGTCTGTGTCAGCCCTGGCAGCCACTGGATCAAGATCATCGACTTTGGCTTGGCACGGAAGCTGGGTGAGCAAAAAGGAGCTCCTGGATGTCCAGGGCAGGGACTGTCACTGTCTCAGGGACAGGATCTGGCCCCTGGGACACCAAACCAGGGCCCTTCCTGACAAGCACACGATGCTCTGGGGGCTCTGTGTCCCCAGTGCTGCTGCTGAGGCACCTGTGGGTGTTCGGCACACAGAGATGCTCCAGGAGAGCACTAAGGAGGCCTTAGAGGATGGCAGCCCCACCTGGGCACAGGGGCTCATCTACCTGGGGTGTGTTGGTGTGTCCTCTGTCCCAGACACCTGTCCCAGGGCACTCCCAGCGGGACACCTGTCCTAGGGAGATCCCAGCTGGCCTCCTGCATCCTCTCTGCAGCTCCAGACACCCCTGTGAAGGTCTTGCATGGCACCCCCGAATTCATGGCTCCAGAAGTGGTTGCCTTTGAGCCTGTGAGCTTCTCCACAGACATGTGGAGTGTTGGTGTCATCTGCTACATCCTGTGAGTGCCTTCCTGGGCAGGGCAGGATGGGCTGGAGGGAGCTGAGCTGTTACTGATGCCGTGGGCTCACCTCCTCAGGCTGAGTGGGGAGTCACCCTTCCAGGGGGACACTGACATGGAGACACTGAGCAATGTCACAGCTGCTCAGTGGGACTTTGAGGAGGAGACCTTCTCAGAGATCTCCCAGCAAGCCAAGGACTTCATCAGCCAACTGCTGCAGAAGGACCCCCGGTAGGGCCTGGGTGTGGCTGTGGGCTGCTCAGCTGGGTTTTGAAGTACTGAGGGTTTGGGCAGAGGGAAGCTCTGCCTGTTTGGTGGAGGGCACATTGCAGATGAGGGTCTGAGAGTGGAGCAGCCCCCCTGTGACCCCCCCTCTCTGTGTGCTGCAGCCAGCGGCTCCCCAGTGCAGGGGCTCTGCTGCACCCCTGGCTGCAGCACCCCCAGCCCAGCAGCCCCAAGGTGCTGTCCAAGGAGAGGATCCGGCAGTTCCTGGCACGTCGGAAGTGGCAGGTACCTGCTGGGGTGATGGGGACATGGGGGTGGCTCTGGCTGAAGGGCTCAGTGCCCATTCTCTTCCCCCAGAAAACAGGAAAAGCCCTGCTGGCTCTCAAGAGGATGACCTTGCTGTCCCAGAGCCTGGAGGGGAAGGCATCTGAGGCTCAGGATGAGGAAGGTGATGGCCCCTGAGGCACCATTCCCACCCCGTTCTCTCTGCTTTGCCGTCTCCTCCTCTTTTTGCTCCTCCTTGGGTGCCACTCAACACCCAGGCATGGCCCCACAGTGGCGTTTCTGCTCCAAGGTTCTCTCCATCCTCATCCCTGTGGGGTGGTCTCTGGTGCAGCCTTGGACAGGCTCATCCCACTGTGTGTCCCAGAGCTGATCCCCACATGCCTCCTGCACCTCCAGCACAGGGGAGAGGTTGGATCCAGCCAGCTCCTCACCATTCCCTCTGCCCATCTCCTGCAGGCTTGGAGAAGGAACAGCCCTCGGGGGCTCTGCCCCAGCAAGGTCCCAACCCCTCGAAGCTGCTGACAGACCAGGAGGAGGAAGATGGTGGTGGGAGCACTGCAGCCTCAGGGCAGTGACAGTGTGGGCCTGTCACCCCCATCCTGGACCACCTCGAGACAGGGATGATGCCTCCAGCAGCTCCCACAGTGACCTGGCCAGCCTGGGACACACCCAGAGCCCTGCTGTGGGTGAGTTCTGGGGTCCCATGGTGTCCCTGTGCTGCTGTCCCTGCAAGGAATGCAGACACCTGTCCCCAATAAAGCACTGACAATCTCTGCACTCCCTGTGCTGCTCCTGTTTCCCCCAAACTCGATGAGAGAGGTAGGAAAGAGCTGCTCAAGCTGTGCCCACCCTTTGAGAGCTGGGATCAGGCTCTTGCCCAGCTGGGCCACCAGCCTTGTCCTCTCCAGGAGTGAAACAGCAGCCACGGGTATTCCTTGCTCAGAAGTGTATTCCTTCCTTATCAGGGGGGTTTGCATTATGTCCTGACCTCACATGGGCCAAGATGAGCCTTGAGGCCTCTGGTCTCTCAATTTCTGGGCCAACTCTGGCATGGGTAGAGCTGGAAACTGCTGTGGGACCTCCAGCCTTGGCCTAAGGAGGCAGAATTCAATATTTGGGAGCCCTGGGGAAGAACAGCCTCAGGCCTGGATGTGCTGGGAGACACCCAGCTGGGACAGAGATTGGGTTGGGGTTCTTGCTGGGCACTGGGGTGACCATGAACCATCAGCGTGCCCTTGTAAAAGGTGGTGAATGGGACCCTGGGCTGCAGGAGGACGGAGGGATCATTCCCAAATTCAGTGACTCCACTCCTGCAGGAGTGACAACAGTGACATGGACACACAGGCTGGTGAAGGAGGAGGGAAAAACTGGACTCCCTCACCCACAAGGAATGTCTGGGAGAGCTGGGATTGCTTAGGGAAGAGAAGGCTCAGAGGTGTCTCATCAGCTCACATCAATAGGGAAAATGAAACCAGGCTCCTCTCAGCAGCGCCCAGAGTCCCTGGGCACCACCTGAAACACCATCTGAACCTCAGGAAAACACTTTTTACTGCTGATGGAGTACTGTCACAGCCTGCCCAGGGAGGTTGTGTGCTCTTCATCCTTGCAGATATTAAAAATCTGTCTAGGCACAGTCCTGGTGCCCCTGCTGGAGCAGAAATGTGAACCAGATGCCTTCCAGAGTCTCCTTCCAGCATTAACCACTGTGTGATTCCATGAAAACCCTGGGGGCTGCTCTCTTCCAGCACCTGCTGGTGCCAGAGGCCTCCTGGAGGTGCCTTGGTTGGAGCAGCCCAGACCTGTGCCCAGTGCCAGGGTCCAGCTGTGCCAAATAATGCACGGCTTCAACCCTTCTTCCTCCTCTTCCTGGAGCAGGGGCGAGGAGGAAATTGTTATTTTTATTAAACAGAACTGAATCCACCCACTCCACAGGGGAGCCATGTCTGAGGGCTCTGCCTGGAGCCACTCTCAGGACACAACTGAGAGGGACACCAAGCCTGGGCGCTGCTGCTGGAGCAGTGGTGACAATTCTGGCTTGCACAGTTTGCTGAACCCTCTGGAAGCTGGTGGCCATCACAGCAGGAGGATCCACAGCAGGATTTGGCATCCTGCAGCCCCAGTGCCTGCACCCCTTGTCTGAGCGCACTGTGGCTCTTCTCTTGGGCTCATGGGGAGGGATGTGTCACCTCCCTGTCCCCTCCTTGTGAGCCAGACTCCCAGCTGCCAGGGTTTTATCAGCACCCAGCCTGACTCGAATTTTTGTGGCAAAAGCCTGTTCCTGTTTACAATGTCCATGGCTGATGGGTGCATCTGACCACGGGAAGCAGGAGAGCACTGGGGGGTGGCAGATTGTCACATACCCTGCTTGGTGGCCTTATCTCTTGTTGGAAATGGAGGCTGACATTTAAGAAGGAACTCTATTTGTAAACTTGTGTGTGGATCTGCTGATGGAGAAGGGGGAGCCCTTTTGGAAATCCCCAATATTCCCTGGAGAAAAGGAGGCTCAGGGGTTTTCCTCAAAGAACTGTAGAGGGTTCACCTTCCAGGGAAAGCATTCCAGAGAAAGGAACGGAGCTGGGAAGGGGCTGGAGCCCCAGAAGGGGCTGAGGGAGCTGGGAAGGGGCTCAGCCTGGAGAAAAGGAGGCTCAGGGGGGCCCTTGTGGCTCTGCACAACTCACTGACAGGAGGGGCAGGGAGGGGAGGTCGGGCTCTGCTCCAGGGAACAGGGACAGGAGGAGAGGGAACGGCCTCAGGCTGGGCCAGGGGAGGTTTAGATTGGATATTAGGGAACATCTCTTCCTCCAAAGGGTTGTCCAGCCCTGGCACAGCTGCCCAGGGCAGTGGTGGAGTTTAAAAGCCCTGCGGATGTGGCACTTGGGGACATGGGTCAGTGGTGGCCTTGGCAGTGCTGGGAATGGCTGGATTTGATCTCAGAGGGCTTTTCCAACCTGAATGATTCTGTGATTCCCCGCAGGATCCAGCAGCTGTGACAGACATCCTGACAGAACTCACCTGCTTCCTCTTCCTCCCCTGTTTGCAGCAAGAGCCCTGGATTCCCTGCTCCTAGCTGGAGCAGAAACTCCTTAGAAACAAAGCAACAAACAAAAATATTCCATATTTTGCCTATAACAGAATAGCAGAGGGAGGCTGAGGAGCCCCTTTCCCACACATCACACCCCGGTTTTTACCCACTATCTATTCCATGTTTTCCTGGTTACACAGATTCCAGTCCCATCCCTTGGGAACAGTGCTGAATGTGCTCAGGCTGCAGATGATAAGCAAACACCAAGTTGCATATAATCAATCCCCTTGATGAGCTATTTACCATGTGACATTACCAAAATATTTCTGGTTGGGAACGATGTTTATCTTCCTCTGTTTTCCAAACTCCTCATGGCCCTGAAAGTCCAACTCCCGGGACTCCAGGCATGAACTTTTTCTCTCCTAACCTATATTTATACCGTAACAATCTGATTTACCTACAGAAGCAGCTTATTTACTGACAGAAAACATGTGTTCCTTCTCCTCCTGCTGCTTGCCGCGGCTTAACACATTAAACTCTGCAATTCAGGAAGGAATGAAGAGTGAATTATACCTAGAACTCATTACAGCCACTGAGAAATTCAGCAGTGCTGAAAATAGAATTCTAATCTCAGGATCTCGGAGGCAAAGGAATTAAGATCTTGTCCTTCCATCAAGACAGACTCTTGGGTTGACCTTCACTTCAGCCACACAACCCCAGAAAATGTTCTCAAATGCTCAGGAATCCTCCATGGGGGCAGAAAGGATGAGTGATGTCCCCTGGGGAATCTTGAGAAGTGGTTCCCACCTTATCTCAGGTATCTTATCTCAGGAATTTCAGGTGCCCCCAGGTCCATCTCTTGGAGAAACGAGGTGGGGTCAGCTGTCCAAATACCCTCAAGTTTCTGGAGCTTTATCCTTCAGTGCCAGGGGATCAGATAACCTCGGGCTGCACAGTCTAAACCTGGGAATGCTTGTTTGGATGAGGGAATGTTGCCTGGGTAGCTCTAACATCAAGAAATAATTTTTTTTTGTGGACCTACAAATTTAGGGGAAAAAAATCCATTCCTGCTTATGTTTTCCAGGGAATTGAAATTAATTAAGAAAACAATCTTAAGTGCCTGAAATCACCCTTAATGTAAAAAATGTAGCTCTGGGCACAGACTGAAGATGGATATTTGAGTGTGATGTTTGTAGAATGGTTTTTAAAGGACTTTTATCACATGCAGTGACCAGCCCTGGGCTAATTGGAGTTGTCAGGTAAACACCCTCATGTACCACGCATGAAAGGAGAGAAGACATGGGAGTATGGGGACAGGGTGGTGACAAGAATGTGGTGCAAGGGACACATGGACAAGGCAGAGGTGAGGGTGGCTCGATGGAGGGAGAAGCGGTGCAGGCAGAGGGAGCATCAGGAGCACCTGAGCTGGGATCAAAGCTCACCTGGTGGGGTGTCCTCACTTCCCAAGGGTCCCAGCCAGGTTCTGAAGGGGTCAGGAGGCTCTTGGAGGTAACAGGAGCTCAAGATCCATCACCCCAAGGTGCAGCACCCAGGAGAAGAGCAATGAAGTCCCCCTACCAACCTCGGGCGGTCTGGGTGGATTCCCGTCTCCAGAGACATCCCAGAGCCTGGGGCTCGGTGGGAGGGTGGGTAGGATGCTCCCACAGCTCATCCTCCTGCAAGGACTGCCCTGTTCCAGCTGCACACAACACCTCCAGCAGCCCAAAATCCAGCCTGGGCTCCCTGTTTGCAGCTCGGTTCTATCCCGTGGGGATCAGCAGAATCCAGACCCCTCCTGGAACACCTCCCTCTGAAAAGGGCGCTGGGTCCCGTCCCTCCCCGCACACGGCCCGTGTCACACCCGGCTTTCGCAGCCCTCCCCGTGGCCAGGAGATGGTACTGTTGGCCTGGCCCTGCTTCTGCTGGGGCTCCAGAGCCGCGCCCAGGTGCTTGCACTCTTTTCCAGCCGAGGTCAGGAAGGTGTTGCCTGGATGCTCCGACAGCTCTTGGGTTTCATCTCAAACTGGCTGTGGCTGCCCCATCCCTGGAAGTGTCCAAGGACAGGGCTTGGAGCAACTTGGTCTGGTGGAAAGATGTCCCTGCCCATGGCAGGGGGAGGGATTGGAGGCTAAGGCCCATTCCAAACCAAACCATTCCATGATTCCTTGATCCTGGCATGCAGCAAGGTGCTCATGGAGGTCCCAGACCTCGGAGTCCCCACAGTGCCCTGTCCCACAGCAGAGCCTGACCCCAGTGTGGGACAAAAGCCCTGGTCCCACACATGGTCCAGGGGACAATATTGTCCCCTGGACACACCTCTGGGACAGCATCAGGATCCCTGTGCCCACAGAGGACTGCAATGCCTTCCCTTAAAAACCTGCATCTGGAAATGAAATGTGAAATATTTAATGAGAAGTTGAAATATTTAATGAAAGAGATTTTGACTGCAAAATTGAATCTTGGAATATCAAAACAACCCCAAATATCGGTGACTCCAATTTTGGTGCTGCTGAGCTGTCCACATGTCCCGTCCCAGGGACAATGGGATGGACACGACATCACTCCAAGGGAATGGGTGCCTGCTGTCCTCGCGTGTCCCCTGCCCGGAGTTTGGGGTTTGCAGAGGGCGGGGGAGGTTGGCAGAACAGGCCTGGCACGTTTCCCCGGTCCCTGTGGTGCTGTGGGTGACACCTGGCAGGTCCTGCCGGGCCGGAGATGCCGCGGGAGCCGGACGGATGCGGCAGCGCCGGGGGCTGGGCGGGGGGTTCAGAGCACGGCGGGTCCTGGGGCTGCCGGGATCCCCTCTGGATCCATCCCCATCCCTCAGCACACCTCTCCTCAAATCTTAGATTTCAGCAAATTTCACCACAACTCAGTGAATCTCACCGAGTCTCACCCAACCTTGGTGAATCTCACCGAATCTCACTGAATAGCACTAAATCTCACCAAATTTTGATGAATCTCACCAAATCTCACCAAATCGCAGTGTCTGCCACTGAACCTCACTGAACATCAGCAGAGCTGATCTGTGACGCCCTGCGCTCCTGGCAGGGCTCCTGGCAGCCCCTGGTCACCGCAGGATGGGGACGAGCCACACTCGGTGCCCAGGGGGCGAATCCGGTGCCACATCCCCCTCCCTGTGCCCAGGGTGCTCTGCTGGGGGTGTGGGTGCTGTGGCCCCTCTGGGACAGCTGAGGGACACTGAGGGCGCCAGCCCGACTCTGTCCCCTGTCCCCATGGCCCGTGGCATGGCAGGAGCATCCCAATGTTGGGATTTACCCCCCTGTGTCCCCACCCAGGGAGCCCCAGGCCCTGCCCTGCCCGGGCTGTGCTGAGTTTGCTCGGGCTCAGGGTCTCTCCTGTGCTGGCTGAGGTGGGACAGGGAGCCCAGCACCTCCTGAGCGCCCTCCCTTCTCCCACTGCCCCTAAATAAATGAGTGATGGAACAGAATGACATTTAAAAGTAAATAAGTAAATAGATCAATACAATTAATAAGGTAAAAAAAAAATTAAGGAAAATCAGTTAAAATAAAATAAATAAAAAGTAAGAAATCAAAGAGTGAATAAAATAAGAAAGAAAGAAAAATATAATAAAAATATATAATTAAATAAAAATTAATGATATCATTTAGTAATAAATTACTGTAAGATAAAAGGAAAGTCAAACAAAAAGCCTAAATAATAATAAATAATGAAATAATGAAAATTTTAAAATAAAATAAATAAGAGAATGAAATAAGACAGAAATCAAGTAGTTAAATGAAATATAATGAAATAATACACAGAACATAAAAATTAAAGCAAAAACTGATTAAATAAATACAATGAAAGTAGATTTTAAAATAAGAATAAAATTAAATGAAATAAATAAGGGAATAATAATAGATAAATAAATAGGAAATAAAGGGGAAACAGGAGTGAAAATAAAATAAAGTAAAATAACAAAATAAAACAATTTTCAGAACAGTATTTTTAAGAATAAAAAACCAAAATTAAAATATAATAAAAAGATGAAATAAATGTAATGTAAAAGTAAGTCTAGAATAAAGTTTAAAAATAAAATAAAAATAAATTTAAAAAATAAAATAAAAAGAAATAAGAAGAAATAAAGCAAAATAAAATAAAATAAAATAAAATAAAATAAAATAAAATAAAATAAAATAAAATAAAATAAAATAATAAAACAAATGGGCTGCAGTAACCCCTCCGGGGCAGCGCCGCTCCGCTCCCTCGCCGCAGCCGAGCAGGTGCCGGGGCCGCCTCTGGCTGCGGCCGGGGCGGGGGCCGGGGGCGGGCGGAGCGTTTATAGCGCGGTAGCGCCCGCAGAAGTTGCAAACGGCGGCGAGCGGCGGCGGGCACGGCTCGGACGAAGCCGGGCTCGGAGCCGGGGCCGCCCCGCAGCGCCCGCCATGGGCAACGCGGCCGGGGGGCTGGAGGGGGGCGCGGCCCCGCGGGAGCCCCGCGACCACCGCCCGCAGCCCGGGGCCGCCCCGGCCGCCGCCGCCGCTCCGCCGCCCCCCCGGCAGCCCATGCCCGGCGCCGCCGAGCTGGAGGAGCGATTCGGCCGCGTCCTGGTGAGCGGGGACGGGAGAGGCGGGGGCGGCCTGGCCGGACATAACGGGGGGTCAGGGGGAGCCGCTGCGGGGGGCCCGGACCCGCCGGGAGGGTCTCTCAGCATCCCTGCAGGCATCAGCATCATTAGCAGCGTTACCACCGTTATCGCCCTTAGAATGATCGTATTGTTACTACTTCATCGTTCTATTAATTATTTGACTTATTATTTAATTGATATTCTAATTAATAATGATGAGTGCCCCGCTCTCACCTCGTTTCCCCGGGGACGCTCAGCCCTGCCCCGGGATGACCCCCAGCCGCTCTCCTCCCCTCATGGCTCTCACCTTGAAGGGATCCACCCCCCAAATTCTTGGGGTGACCCCGAGTCCCGGACCCCGGGCAGGCTCCGCCATGGCGGGATCGGCGGCAGGGCCGGAGCGCGCCGATGCTGCTGATGGCGATGCTTCGCTCACCTCCTCTTCCTCCTCCTCCTCGCCGGAGCCGGGGAAGCCCCGGCACCGCTGCCGGCCTCCCCCGGTGGGCAGCGGGCGATGCCGGAGCCGCGTTCCCGTGGGATGGATGGCAGCTCCTGGAGACGCGCGGCTCCCGCTCGCTCCGTCCTTGAGCGGGCTGTTCCGGCCGTGACCTTCGCGCCACCAGGGCCGGGTCCCGCCACCGCGCCACCCGCTCCAGCCCCCCTCCATGCCCTCCCCAAAAATGCTCCGAGAAAAAAGAATTGCTGCTTTAATCCCCCGAGCCCCCGGCGGGAGATGGAGCCGTTTTGCCGATCCCGTGCCGGGAGCAGCCGCGGGCGCAGCTTCCACGATGCCGGCACACCGGGATTTGCTCGGTTGGATCTGCCGGGATCTGCTCGGCGGCGTCCCCCACCCCAACCCCGAGCACAGATTACGTGGGAGCTTTGTTATCTCGTGGAGTTTATGGGATTATTGGGGATGAGCATGGCAGCTGGAGCCGCTGCAGCTGCAGGGGGTGGTGGTGGGGGGCTCTGCCTGCTGGGACCCCCGTGGACAGGGAAGGGGCTTTGCCGTGGGACACCAGTGCTGGCAGGTGGCTGGGTGGGGTGGTGGTGCCTGTGATGGCTCCAGCTGTCACAGCAACGGTGGCAGGAAGAGACCTCGGGGTGTTTCTGCTGCGAGGCCTCAGGAAGCAGCGCTTTCAGCCGGGCTGTGGGCCTAGGAGGTTGGAAATCCTAAACCAAAAAACGGTCAGAAAAGGGGCAAGCGCTGCTCCAGGACCCCAGCACCACCTTCTCTGCCTTCATCCCGAGAGAAAGCCTTTTTCCAGGAGAAGGGGCACCCGAGGGGCTGGATGTGCCTCGACGGGAAGCGGGTGTCTTGTGAAAGCGGCTGTCCCAATCCCGCTTCCTCTTTCCACAGTCCCTTCCCCATTCTCGTGGCTATGGGGGCAGCAGAACCCCGGGGGGATGGGGACAGGGGTCCCACTGTCCTCACCCACCACAGACGTCTTCCCCGACTCTGGCTTCAACTTTTCTGCCTCCTGAACTCAGTGATGGAGCAGGTGGATAAGCAGGGGGTGAGCTGGGAATCTCCTGGTGGGACACGATCCAGACTTCACATGTTGCCATGATTACAGTGATGCCATGAGAGCTCAGTGCAAATCAGTTTTGGGCTGGACATCCCAAACTGGGAGAGATGGTGGCACAAAGCCTTGGCAGAAAAGCCCAGGGAGAACCTAGTGGATCCAAATTGCTGCCAGGAAGGGGACAGATACACCCATTCCGTGCCAAGAGATGGGAATTTAGTTTCCCAAAACTTTATTCTCAAAAATTGGCTTCCTCCCAGCTGGGGCACTGTGGCAGATGCCGCTTTGGCAGAGCAATGGGAGGGTTGTACCGTGCCAAGTGGTTTGGGATGTGATGAGGTGGATTTTTGGGATGGAGCAGAGGAAGAGCATCTTTGCTGCTGGGGTAAGGATGCTCAGATACTCCTGCTTGGAGCAATCAGGATATCCCCCCCTTTGCATGTCAAGAGGCATTAATTGGGAATATATAAATGGAATTGTGAGTTGAGGTGTGGTGGAGTCAAAATCAAACAGTGGCTGACTGGTACAGGGGCTGCTCCAGCCAGGAGCTTTGCCTGGTGGGGGCTTTGCTGCCTTTTCTCCCTGGGTCCTGGGGGAGTGCAAGGCCAACGTCACCATTGCAGATGTTTGCAGATGTTTGCAGATGTTTGCAGATGTGCTGTTGGCCCCAGCAGCAGGATGGGTCACCAGCGAGCCCTGGCCACAGTGTCAGCCTTGGCTGAATCAGGAAACAAAACTGGTCCTCAGCTTCCTGTGGGATCCATCTCCAGCCTGGCTCTGGCACGGTGGCCAAGGCTGGCAGGGGGAGGCAGGGCTGCAGTCGGGTGTCCCCATGGGGAATGTCTGTCCTGGGTGGGAAGTTGCCTGTGAGCCACGAGCTGCTGGAGCAGGGCCTGGAGAGTGTCTGGTGCAGGAGCTCCCCTCTGCTGCTGGATCCAGCCCTGGGAGAGCAAGGAGGACATCCCAGTGCAGGGTGGGCAGGCAGGCACCCAGCAGGGATGGGGGCACTCTGGCAGGATCAGGCTCCTCTCCCTGGGTTGAACTACAGCGGCTTCTGCTTGTTCTGAAAATAGAGCTGGAGCCGCAGGCAGCACCACCCCAGCCTGCTCCTGCCACCCCCCCGGCCATCCTGGGGACACCTCTGCTCCTCCACTGGCCATCCCTGCCTGACACTTGGTGGCTTTGGGCCTGGCTGGATCCAGGGAGTCCCTGATGGGATGAACTGGTCCTGGCAGTGTCCTCCAGCCCAGTTTGCTGCATGAGGGAGGTCAGGGAGCCCTGGGTGGGCCTGGTCCTCCTCTGTGCCTTGCACTGAGCCCTGGGAAGGGGCAGGAGAACAAGTTCAGTGTCAGACGGGGACATTGGAGGGAACGCCGTGGGACAACTGGCACTGCAGGACTGGGCACGTCCCAGCCACCTCAGGGGTGCTCTGTGGCCGTGAGGGATGGAGCATCCCAGGGGTGGCCTGGCCATCAGTCACCTGGGAACCTGGAGATGTTGGTTCCTCCTGCAGCTGGAGAAACCCCCTAAGCCAGCACCTGGGGCAGTTGCCTGCCCTGTCCCCTTCCCTGTGGCAGGAGTTTGTGCCTGGTGTCTGGACTGGGATGTTGTCCCATCCCACGTGCTGCCAAGGCTTTCCTTGGGATGCACATCCCCCGTGCCCCAGAAACGGCGCTGCCAGGGTTCAGCCCGGTTCAGGCTCAGCCTGGCGGGGTTTGCAGCACAAACACTTCCCTGGAGGATGCCGGAACATTCTGTGCCAGGTTTGGTGCAGAGCTCGGCTCTGCTCGGGTCTGCCCGTTCACGTGTGGAACAAAAAGAGGTGCCTGACACCCAAAATAGCTCCGTCCCTGCCAGCCATGATAGGAAAAGGTTTTTTGTACCAGAAAATGATGATGGTGCTGCTTCATCTCCCCTGGCCTTGGTTTCAGTGTAGGGCAAAACTTGGCTCACCCCACAGCTGGTGCTGGGTGCCAGCCAGCCTCACCCTGGTGCTGGGCATGGCTGGGACGGCACTGTGACACTTTGTGTCACAGCAGGACTGCTGGGGGACATTTGGTGGCACCCACTCAGTGACGTGATGAGCTGTGAGGCTGCTGGGAAGCCCCGGGCAGGGTGAGGGTGCCGGGTGCTGGATGATGGCAGCTGGGTTGTGGCTGCTTGGTGCAAGTCACTGTGGCTCCTCCATCTTTGTTCCCAAAGGTGGAAGAGGAGGAGGACCAAGTCCTTCCTCTGACTCCTGTGGGGTGCTTGGCTGCTGCTCTGCCCCCCATCACCCGCCCTGTCCCACCTCCCACACACCGGATCCCCCCTCCCCGGCAGGAACTCGGAACCGGTTTTTTTGTGCTGCCGGCTGAGGCTCCTCAGCGCAGTCGTTTCCTCCCCGGCACCACAAGCCCACCCGGGACGCAGGCACCACCCAGTTTGTACCCGACCTGTGCCACATCCTGCCCGCAAGGGAGGGACCGCGGGGCAGAGCCACCTCCACAGGGACAGCCCGGCATCCCCTGCCCCACCCTCGTGCCGGGTCCTGTCTGTCCCACTGCCAGTGCAGGGTCCTGCTTTGTCCAGGTCCTGCATGTGATGGCTTAAAGCTGGTCCGTGTGGCAGGTGCCACCATCTGCTTTCTGCCAAGGGCACCCAACAGTGTCCCACCGAGGGTGCCATGGGTGTGACAGAACCCTGGGAGGGGTGTCTGGGTGTTGGACTTGGCACAGTGCTATCCCTTGGTCTTACCCTCATCCATCCCAAGGATGGCAGCTTGGGGACTAGAAATGGGGACAGCCAGGTGCTGCTGTCACCTTGCCCATTCCAGAACCCACCCAGAAGCTTCAGTGCCTTCACAATGAGGCCATTTCTGACCCTGCAGCCTGACTGTACCCCCTGCCCAGCTCTCTGTGCTGGCCAGCCCCAGCCAAACCCAGCTCCTCCCCACCCACGGCTCCTGGTTTTGGCTTCTTATAAAAGCAGCTTGACAGGTCCTCCCTGGAGGTGGTGGAGAGGTTTCTGTTCCTGCTCACCACAGTGGCACTTCTCCCCTTGGACCTGCTCTTCTGTGGGTAACCAAAGCCCTGGAAAATGCCTTCCTCCAAGGATGTGGTTGTTCCAGCATGGCATGCGCCCCACGTCCCCATCCTCCTCATCAGGGAACCCCAAGATTGGGATTTAGGGGTGGCTTGGGGCTGTGCATTGCTCCACGTGCCATCGTGCCAGTCTGCAGGTGTTCTCCAGCTGAGCTGGAGCACCAAAAATGGGGTCTTTTCTCAAAATAAATCTCCTGTGAGCCGAGCTGAGCTGCAGCCTGGCCCAGGCCATGGTGGGTGTCCCATGACACCCATGGTGTCCCTCAGCAGAGGCAGAGGAGCTCGAGGCAGGAGCAGTTTCGGCAGCGCCTGGTGCCGAGAGCGGAAACCACGTCACGTCCTGTGGTGGCCGTGGGGGCTGGGGTTGTGCAACGGTGGCACGGAGGGATGTGGGGACACGCCAGGCCTGACATAATTTTCTCTCAATAAACACTGATTTCCCCAGATGGGCTCATCACTCACCTGTGCTGGGGGGTCTTAGGGGTGACCCCTGAAGCACGGCCTGGACTCCTGGGTCCCTCAGCTGTGTCACCAGGCAGTGTCCCCATCGCTCATCCTGTGTGGCCCTGCTGGGACTGGGCTGGCTGAGGCCAGGCACATGGTGCACCCATGACATGGATGGATGTGTCCAGTTCTTCCTCCCATCCCCCACCAACACCCCCTGCCCTCCCCTTGGGGACCCTCAGGTGGGGACATTACTGATGGGTCCGTGGGATGCTCACATCCTGGGAATAGTTGTGTTTCCAACCTGCCACTGTTGTCCCCATCATCCCACCAGTGTCCCCATCCTGAGAATGCTACTCTCATTTTTCCACCATCATCCCATCCTCCCACCACTGTCCCCATTGTTCCATCATTATCCCCACTGTCCCACCGGTGTCCCCATTCTCCCACCAGTGTGCCCATCCTTCCACCAACATTCCCATCCTCCCATGGGTGTCCCCATGTCCCACTGGTGTCCCCGTGTCCCACTGCTGAGCAAGGACACCCCGTGCTGGGTGAGCAGGGAGTGCTACATCCCAGGGGTGTTTTTGGGGTGAACCCAAACACTGACACCCTTTACCCACAGAATTCCATGAACCTTCCCCCGGACAAGATGAAGCTGCTTAACCAGTATGACAACGAGAAGAAGTGGGAGCTGATCTGTGACCAGGTGAGGTCCAAGCTCACAGCGTCCCCAGTGCTGTCCCTGTCCCCAAGTGCCACTCATGGAATGATTTGGCATCAATCTTGCTGTACCAAGCACTGACATCCATCTCGTTACTGACACAGCACCTTATTAACCTCATTAAGCATTGATGCAGCTGGGGTGGGGACAGGGACACTGTGGCTGCTGTGGGGACAGTGGCATGTCCCCGTGCCACAGCAGTGGCCCAGTTTCAGCCTCTCTCTGGGGCTCGTAGGAGCGTTTCCAGGTGAAGAACCCTCCGTCCGCCTACATCCAGAAGCTGAAGAGCTACTTGGACACGGGTGGTGTCAGCAGGAAGGTGAGGGGTCCCTGTTGCACCCCGGTCCCCTGGTCCCCATCCCAGGCTGGGCACAGGGACGGTGCCAATGGCTGTCCCTGTCCCACAGTTCAAGAGGCGAGTGCAGGAGTCGACTCAGGTGCTCCGGGAGCTGGAGATTTCCCTGAGGACCAACTACATCGGGTAAGGGTGGGGGTGGCACTGTCACCCAGCCCCTGCCACTGTCTCTGGGATGGGGATGGATGTGCTGCTGGTTCTGGCTGGAGGATGACAGGAGGAGGTGGAGGCTGTGGCCTCATCCTACCCCCTTAGGAGGGCTCTGATGGGAGGCTGAGGGTGCTGAGGCAGCTGGGGGTGCTGTGGGTCTGAACCCCATTTTGGCCTTCAGGCACCTCCTGAGTGCCAGGAGGGACCCTGCCCTGACCCTGGCTGTCCTGACCCCTTGTGGCATGGTGGGTGCCCACGGTCCCCAGGGCCAGGCTCTCCTGTCGTGGCAGTGGTGGCAGCAGTGGCAGTGGTGACAGGATATATGATATATGTGTCCCCCATATATCAAGTTCACCATGGCACTCATCTGGCCTCAGAGAAATGCCAGCTCATGGTGCTACCTCATGTCTCTACCATGTTCCACCCTTGCTGGGGACCCGTGCCAGGAGCTGGCTCCTCTGTGTGCCTGGGGGGCAGGGGTAGAGAGGATGTGGGGGTTGGCAGAGCCCACTAACCCTCTGCACTCTCCAGCTGGGTCCAGGAATTCCTCAACGAGGAGAACAAGGGGCTGGACGTGCTGCTGGAGTACCTCGCCTTTGCCCAGTGCTCTGTCGCGTACGTCCCCACCGGGTGTCCTGTCCCCAAGGCTGGGATCAGCCTCCCCTGGGGCTCAGCAGGGCTGGAGGGGTTCCCTGGGGGTGCCCTCCCTTGTCATCAGGGCGATGCTCCATGGCTCAGGCTGAGCAGAACATCCCCAACATCCCTGAGGGGCATCTGCCCGTATTGGGGTGCCATATCTCACCCGTGCCCATGTCCCCACGGGCCACCAGGTATGACATGGAGAGCACAGAGAACAGCCCCGGCTCTGACAAGGGCAAGGAGCGGTCGCTGGAAGACCTGAATAAAAGCACCTCCTCATCCCCCACGCAGGGCTCCTCCAAAACGCGGCCTCTCACTGTAAGGTAACGTGTGGTCCCGACCCCAAACTGTCCCCCTGTCCCTGTGCCGTGTCCCCGCTCTCGCCTCGCTGCACCCCCGGCCGCGCCGCGCTTGGAGAGGGGCTTGGCAGGGAGACGCAGGCCCGGCCCTAAAAATGGGTGCCCATTGCTGGTTTGAGGGTGGGGACAAAGCCACATCGCCCTGTGTGCCCCCAGGGGCTAAGCCCTGCCTAGGGCTAGGCTGGATCCGTGTCCTCACCCCGGCACTGCTACCGTCCTGCGGTGCTCTGGTTAAACCCCAGGAATATACAAAAATTGGGGGTGTTGGAGATTTTGGGGGAGCAAATCGCAGCCCCCTGGTTTAAGCCCGGGGCGGAGGGACGGGCCTGTGTCCCCCCAAGCCGGTCCTGGTGGCTGGTGGCTCTTGCTTGGTGCCGCTCGCCCGCAGCCCCGTCTAACCCCGCTCTTCTCTTGCACGCTGCCGGGGACGCGCTGACGGTAGGTGACGGGGCACTGGCGGGACGGGGACACTCCACGGGACCCCGCTGCTGGGCACCGACATTGGGGACAGGGCCTGCGGGGCATCCCCGGTGGGCGGGGGAGTCCCAGGGACATCCCACCGCGGTCACCCCGGAGCTGTAACGTGGCACCCCGGGGAGCGCGGGGGTCCCTCGCCGCCTGCCAGCAGCTCTGCAGGAGTCGGGGTGTCCCTCCCAGCCCCAGGGACAGGTCAGGAGGGACGTGGCACCCGCATGGGGTCCCATCCCTTGTCCCCGAGCCCGGGTGTCCCCGGGGCGGCGCGGGAGCCCCGTTTCTCCCTCCTATCCTGCAGGCTCTAACGCGCCTCCAGCTGCTGCCTCTCGAACCAGCACATCCACACCCTCCTCCGCCACGTCCACCCCAGCGTCCCCTGCGGTGCCCCGGGCAGCGATGGGGACAGTGCCCCCAGGTCACCCGGCAGCTCCTGCCCGCCCCGGTGAGCCTCCGAGACCACCCGTGTGCAAGAAGGGGCCTCAAAACCCACCCCACATCACCCCCCCAGTCCCAGGGCTTCTAGATGGGCACGGACAAGAGGATTTCTCCCGTGGGGTGCAGCAGCCCGGGTGCCCCGGTGTCCCCCCGCCCCCGCTGCCACCCCCTTGCGCTGTCCCCTCCCCGCTTTACGCTGCGCCCGCCGCTCCCCCGGGCCCCGCTCAGCCGCGCTCTCCCCGCCCAGGCTGAACCCCTCGCACAGCAGGAAGACGCTGCGCAACTCGCGGCTCGTGAGCCAGAAGGACGATGTCCATGTGTGCATCATGTGCCTCCGCGCCATCATGAACTACCAGGTGGGAGTGGGCGGCATCCGCGGGGATCCGCCCGGGGCTCCCCCGGGATCCCCAGCGCCTGCGGCGGCAGCTTCGGGGCGGGACCGGGTCTGCATCTCCTGGCTCTGAGATGTCAACATCCTGCCTGCCGGGGATGTGGCATGGGGTGTGCCACGGTCCTGGAGTGCCTCCAGGGGGACACGCGACCCCATTAATGCTCCTTTCCCCCCTCCCAAGTCTGGCTTCAGCCTGGTGATGAACCACCCAGCCTGTGTCAACGAGATCACCCTGAGCCTCAACAACAAGAGCGCCAGGTAGGAGCTGCCCTGCCCAACGAGAGTTGTCCCTTGTCCCCCTCCCCGCCCCACGGCCCCAGCCCCCTCACACCACATGTCTCTGCAGGACCAAGGCTCTGGTGCTGGAGCTGCTGGCCGCTGTCTGCCTGGTCCGAGGTGGCCACGACATCATCCTGGCTGCCTTCGACAACTTCAAGGAGGTGAGGCCCCAGCAGGGACACCCAGTCCCCACATGAACATCTGTGCCCAGCTGGGTTTGTGCCTCAGTTTCCTTGGGTGTGGCAGAGCCCTGCACTACCCTCAAATCTCCGGCTCACTTAGGGATGTTCCACTCACTGGGCTTGATGTCCCCATGTCACCGTGTGTCCCCAGGGCCATGTCCCAGCTGGCTGGGTGCCTGGCAGCACTGGTCAGGGTTGGGATGGTGTCACCAATAGATACCTCCTGTCCTGCCACCCTCCTGGGTGTCCCCTGGCCATATCCTCCCTGGTCTTCAGCCCTCTGCTCCCTCCCCAGGTCTGTGGGGAGAAGAACCGCTTCGAGAAGCTGATGGAGTATTTCCGAAATGAGGACACCAACATTGACTTCATGGTGAGTGGCTGCTGGGCCCACACTCTGCTGTCCCCAGGGCGTCATATCACCAAGGCTGCTGTACTGTCCCCAGGCCATCTTGCCCCGAGAGCTCCTAAGCCACCACACTGTCCCTATGGCATCATGTCCCAAGGGATGCTGAGTCACCAAAACTCTCCCCAGGCCACCGTGTCCTCACAGGGGCTGCTAAGCCACCATGCTCTCTTGGGGATGGCATGTCCCAAGGGCTGTGAGGCTGTTCTGCTGTCCCCAAGGGCTTCTAAGACACTACACTTTGCCTGTGGCATCGTCTCCCCAAGGGCTTCTAAGCCACCAAACTGTCCCCAGGCCATCATGTCCCCAAGGCTGCTGTGCTGTCCCCCAGCCACCACATCCCCAGGACCGTGTAAACCACCATGCACTCCCCAGGGACATCATGTCCCCGAGGGCCACCAACCCCCTATGCAGCCTTGGGGCAACATCCCCAAGGGCCACCCTGGCCCTGCGCTGTGCCCTGGCCGTGCTGAGCCGTGTCCCCGCAGGTGGCCTGCATGCAGTTCATCAACATCGTGGTGCACTCGGTGGAGAACATGAACTTCCGCGTGTTCCTGCAGTACGAGTTCACCCACCTGGGGCTGGACCAGTACCTGGAGGTGGGTGATCCCGAGGGTGGGGGTGCCAGGGGTGCCACCAGTGCTGGCGGTGACGCCGGCTGTCCCTCGGCAGACTCTGCGCCTCACCGAGAGCGACAAGCTGCAGGTGCAGATCCAAGCCTACCTGGACAATGTCTTTGACGTGGGGGCCATGCTGGAGGACTCGGAGACCAAGACGGCGGTGCTGGAGCACATGGAGGAGCTGCAGGAGCACGTCAGCCAGGTGGGCCGTGGGCGCGTGGGCAGAGCGCTGACGCAAGCCCCGAGGGAGGGATGAGGATGGGGCTGAGCGGCGGCGCCTCGTCCCCCACAGTTGACGGAGAAGCTGCAGGATGCGGAGAACGACTCCATGGCCAAGATAGCGGAGCTGGAGAAGCAGCTGAGCCAGGCACGGCGGGAGCTGGAGGCGCTGCGGGTGAGCCGGGGGTGCCGAGGGAAGGCTGGGACTGAGGGAGCGGGCTCTGAAGGTGTAGTGGGACAGCGGTGACCTGCCGGGGGTTGTCACCTCTCCAGGAGCAGCTGAGCCCCCCGCGGCCGCCCAGCCCGCCGTCCCCCCAGCCCCAGGAGTGCTACCGGCTGGCGCTGGAGCGGCGGCTGGCGGAGCTCGAGGAGAAGGGGCTGGTGCAGATCCTGCGTGGGCCCGACGGAGACGTCGCCATCGAAATTGTCCCCGTTGTCATAGAAACCCCCGCAGCCCCCGTGGTTTCTGGAGAGGGCACCGCCACCACCGACACCACCGCCACCTGCACAGGTACCGTGGGTGCAAGGGGATGTCCCCTTCCCGGCGGGGACACCTGGCACCAAGGGAGGTGGCAGCAAGTCTCTGGGCACAGAAACTGAGGCGGGGGTGTGGGAATGTGCCCGAGGACTCGGGGAAATGCGGTGGCAGAGGGGGCCTGGCGGTGGCACCGTGCCCTGCTGTGTCACCATCTCACCCACCTCTTCTTTCCCTTGCAGATGCTCCGGCTCTGGCTCCAGCTCCACCTCCCGCACCAGCACCTGCTGCCCCCCCGCCCCCACCCCCTCCACCCCCCCCACCTCTGCCGGGGGCTGAGCCCATCCCTCCCCCACCCCCTGCACCCCCTCTGCCCGGAGGCACCGCTCCCCCCCCCCCTCCCCCCCTCCCGGGTGCCCCAGTGCCACCACCCCCCCCACCGCTCCCAGGGGGGCCGGAGGGACCCGTGCCCCCCCCTCCACCACCCCCACCCCTCGGTGGGGAGCCCCCAGCCGGGCCGGGTGCCCCCCCCACTGCCAACGGTTCAGGTGAGTGTGGCCCAAGGATGGTGGGGATGTTCCCTGGGAGGGGTCTGGGGGCACCCTGGGGTGGGTTTAGGACCCCTCACCCTGTGACGTGTCCCTCCCCCCTCCCCATGACCCTGCAGTGAAGGTGAAGAAGCCGATCCAGACCAAGTTCCGCATGCCCGTCTTCAACTGGGTGGCGCTGAAGCCGAGCCAGATCGACGGCACCGTCTTCACCGAGCTCAATGACGAGAAGGTGCTGCAGGTGAGCACAGGGGGTGCCCGGGGGGCTCAGTGCCCCAGGCCATGCTGAGGGTCCCTCACCCTGCACCCACCCGCGGCAGGAGGAGCTGGAGGTCAGGAAAACTCCTTAGCACCATGGAGAGGGACACGGGATCAGGCGTGCTTCTCCTCTCGTCCTATCCTTGTCCCTTTGCTCCATCCACATCCTCACATCCCGTCCTTTTCTTCTTCCTCATCTCCATCCTCTGGTCCCCTCACACCCTCCTTACCCCACCCTGTCCTCTTGCCTGTCCCTTGTCCCCTTGTTCCATCCTCATCCCTTTGCTTCATCTTGATCCTCACTCCTCCCCCTTACCCTGGTCCTCCGGCCCCATCCTCACCCCACATGTCCCGTGCCACCTCCCCACCGTGCCCACAGCCCTGTGTCCCCACAGGAGCTGGACATGAGTGACTTTGAGGAGCAGTTCAAGACCAAGGCGCAGGGCCCTGCCCTGGACATCAGTGCCCTCAAGGCCAAGGCCACGCAGAAGGCCCCCAGCAAGGTGACCCTCATGGAGTCCAACCGGGCCAAGAACTTGGCCATCACCCTGCGCAAGGGCGGCCGCAGCGTCCAGGACATCTGCACGGCCATCGAGACGTGAGTGCTCCCTGCTGGGGTGGGGCAGGGGCGGGATAAGGTCAGGCACAGCCAGCAGGACCCAGGGGCTGGGATGGTGGAGGGAGTGATGGGATGCAGGGATTGTTATGGAGATGCAGAGACGAGATACAGAGAGATGGAGGGGTCAGAGATGGAAAGATGGAGGGTGGAGGGATCAGATGTGGAGAGGTGGAAGGATGCAGGCACCAGCTGTGGGGATGGAGAAATGCAGAATGAGATACGAGGCTGTGGGAGTCAGAGACAGAGACACAGAGGGATGCAGAGACCAGTTGTGGGGATGGAGGGATGCAGGAACCAGATATGAAAAGAAGGGATGTGGGGACCAAAGACAGAGAGATGAAAGGATCCATATGGGAGAGATAGAGAGGTTCAGGGTCCAGATATAGAAAGATGGAGTGATGCAGGAACCAGCTGTGGGGATGGAGGGATGCAGGAACCAGCTGTGGGGATGGAGGGATGCAGGAACCAGCTGTGGGGATGGAGGGATGCAGGAACCAGCTGGGGGTTACAGGGGGGGTTTCGAGACCTGTGGCAGGATCTGACAGTGGCAGGAGTGTCCCCTCCCCGCAGGTACGACCAGCAAGCCCTGAGCCTTGACTTCCTGGAGCTGCTGCTGCGCTTCCTGCCCACCGAGTACGAGCGGACCCTGATTGGGAAGTTCGAGCGGGACCAGCAGCCGCCAGAGGAGCTCTCGGACGAGGACCAGTTCATGATCCGCTTCAGCAAGATCCCCCGGCTGGCCGAGCGCATGAACGTCATGATCTTCCTGGGCAGCTTCAGCGACACAGCGCAGCTGCTCATGCCGGTGTGCGGGGGACGGGCGGGTGGAGGTGGCGGGGGCGGCTCCTGCGGGGACACTCACACCCTTCCCTCCCTCGCAGCAACTCAACGCCATCATCGCCGCCTCCATGTCCCTCAAGTCTTCCAGCAAACTGCGCCACATCCTCGAGGTGAGGGCTCTGGGGGGAGGTGGCCCCGGTGGGTGCACACAGAGTGCTGGCAGTGTCTGTGGGCATTGTGCCCTCCTGGGCTGTGTCCCCAAGCCGTGGTGTCCCTGCAGATCGTCCTGGCCTTCGGGAACTACATGAACAGCAGCAAGCGTGGAGCTGCCTACGGCTTCCGGCTGCAGAGCCTTGATGCGGTAGGGTCGGTGTGGGGTGCCTCGTGGGGCGGTGGCCGGGGCACTGCCACTGCCAGGGAGCTGCCCTGGGGACAGAGGGACACAAGGGACCAGCTGCAGAGATGGAAGGATGCAGGAATCTGCTGTGGGGATAGAGGGATGCAAGGACCAGCAGTAGGGATGGAGGGATATGAGCTTTAGCTGTGGGGACAGAGGGATGAAGAGATTGTCTATTGGGTTGGAGAGGTAAGGGGAGAAGGCAAAGGGATGGAGATACACAGAAATGGGGTTGGAAGGATGGAGACTTGATATGGAGAGGTTAAAGGATTCAAGGACCTTGATGAAGGAAGATGGGAACCAGCTGCAGGGATAGAGGGAGGAAGGTCACACATGGGAGTATGGGGATGAAGAACCAGGGACAGAGCAATGCAGACCCAGCCATGGGGATGGAGAAAGATGGGAATCAGCCATGGGAATGGAGGGATGCAGACCTGGCTGGGGGATGGAGGGATGCAGATCCAGCTGTGGGAGCAAAGGGATGGATGCAGACCCAGCCACATGGCTAAAGGGCCACCAGGGGCAGGGTAAGAGGCTGGTGGCTGCGGGTCAGGGCTGACTCTGCCCTGCCCCAGCTCCTGGAGATGAAGTCCACAGACCGCAAGCAGACGCTGCTCCATTACCTGGTGCGGGTGATCATGGAGAAGTACCCGGAGCTCACCGGCTTCCACACCGAGCTGCACTTCCTCGACAAGGCAGGCACAGGTAGTGCCCACGGGCCCTGAGCCAGGCATCGAGGCAGGCCCTGGCACTTTGAGCCTGCCCTGAGCCTGCCCTGCTCACCTCCCGCAGTGTCCCTGGATGGTGTCCTGCAAGACGTGCGGAGCCTGCAGCAGGGCATGGAGCTGACCCGCAGGGAGTTCATGAGACAGGACGACAGCCCCGTGCTCAAGGACTTCCTCAAGGTCAACTCGGAGGTGATGGAGAAGCTGCAGGCTGACAGCAAAACCGCCAAGGTGGGTGCTGGGGTGGGGTCATGGGCACAGTCCCCTGCATAGGGACACCCTGGGTGCCCTCTGCTCACTCCTCTGCCCCATGGGAGATGCTCCTGCTTGAGATGTGGCTCCAGTGGGACACGCAGGAGGGATATCAGGCAGGATGTGGAGGTGGGAGAGGCTGGAAGGAGGTGGTGGGGGATGGGCACCACTGCCCAGCCCCAGCCCCCTGATCAGGTGTCTCTGCCCACAGGAAGCATATGAGTCAGCTGTGGAGTATTTTGGGGAGAACTCCAAGACCAGTCCCCCCACCACGTTCTTCCCCATGTTCATGCGCTTCATCAAAGCCTACAAGGTAGGAGGGCCATGGGGTTCTCTGTTTCTGAGGGCTGGGAGGAATTTGGGGCACCTGACTCCACTTTGGAGCAATCAATGGAAGTCACAGGCAAGGCTGGGGTTTGTGGGGCCAGGAATGCCTTTGGGATGGTTAGAGATTTTGGAACTGGGTTGGGGTGAGCTGGGGGCTGTGAGGGGAGGAAGGAAGGGGGCTGCAATCCTGGACACCTCTGGTTCAGCACACCCTTCCTGCTCCTCTCCCAAGCAAGCAGAGCAGGACATCGAGCTGTGGAAGAAACAAGAGGCTGCAGCCAAAGAGGCAGAATCCTGTTCCCCTGGCAGTGAGCAGCAGCCCGAGGTGAAGATGCCCCCATATCTGTATCCTGGTGGGGTCCCAGCCCCAGCCCTGAGTGGCTGAGTGGTGGAGAAGGACTAAACAGGTCCTGGGGAGGGAGAACTGGGGGGAGGTGAAGGTGAGGGTACCCTATCTCCTCTGGGGTGTGATCAGGCCACTCAAGCACCCTGTCCCCTCCCCAGCTGCCTGTCCAGAAGGCCAGGAGGCAGCAGATGGACATGATTGCTGAGCTGAAGAAGAGGCAGATGGTGAAGGAGCCGCTCATCTACGAAGGCAAAGATGGGGCCATCGAGGATATAATTTCAGGTGAGAGATGATTTCAGGTGAGCAGACAGGTGTCCCCACATCACAGACCCAGGGCTGGGGGCTGCAGGGGCTGTCACAGGAGCTGGAGGGTCACCAAGTCCCATCACAGGGACCAAACCTACCTGCAAACACCTTCACATCCCACATGGCAAAGCTGCCGAGTGCTGCCTCCCCTGTCTCATATCTCTTCCTCCTTTTCTGCTTCTTCCTCCTCTCTCCTCCTCCTGCTCCTCCTCGCTGTCTCTGGATCGCTCTGCTCAGCTCTCAAAACTGTTCCTTTCACGGCCCGGACGGGCAAACGCTCGTCCCGGCTCTTCTGCGATGTGAGCTTCAACGAGGAGAGTCCTCTGTAGGTAACGTGGGGCGGCGGGGCCGGCGCAGGGGGGCGGGGGCTGCCGGGCTTCCCCCCCTCCCCGCCCCGGGTGTGTGGCCGGATTTGCCCCACGCTGAACCCCAGCCCCGGGGGCACCCGGGATCAGCCCCCGATGCGGTTCTGGGCTCCGAGAGCCGATGGTCGGGGTCCCACAGGCTGAGAGGTCGTAGCTGCTGCTCCTCCCTTGGCTCCTCCCGAGTGTCCTCGTACCCTGAGGGACGATTCCGGGCAGAGAGGCAGGACAAGGGGCAAAGGTTTTAAACGAACAAAAGAGAGTTTTAGGTTGAAGGTTTGGAAAAAATTTAATTCCTGTGAGGGTGAACCCTGGCCAGAGAAGCTGTGGCTGCCCCAGCCCTGGCAGTGTCCAAGGCCAGGCTGGACAGGGTTTGGAGCAGCTTGGGACAGTGGAAAGCGTCCCTGCCCTAGGCAGGGGTGGCACTGGATGGGCTTTAAGGACCCTCCAACCCAACCCATTCCATGTTAATGTGGTGGGTGGCAGAGCTGGCTGGGCAGTGAAGCTCATGCGGGCCCTGCTTGCCCCGGTGCAGATCTGCGGAACAACCCGTACCGGCGGGGGGACAAGGCCCGCGGCAGCGCCAAGAAACGGGCGGCGGGGCAGAGCCTGCAGGCGACGCCGGACATCGCGCTGTGACCGGCGCCGTCCCTGCAGCGACAGGACCGGGCCAGGACCATCCTCCCGGCGCACACGGGACCGCAGGGTGTCAGTCCCCCAGCCCGGGGCTCGGCGTGGCGGAGGGACAGTGCCCGCTCCGAGCTGCTCCAGCCGCTTAACGCGCCAGCTCCGCCTGCCTGCCTGGGGCTGCCACAGGCACCCCCGGCGCTTGCTTGGCCACGTCCCTGAGCTCCTCTACCCAGGCTGGCAGGGCTGGGGGACCCTCCTGGCTACGGATAGGGAGGGAGAAGCACAGAAAGGGCTCCAACTTGTCCTGAAAGGAAAAGAGGGGCTGTCCCATCCCTACCCCGGCGCTGCTCCCTCGCACGCTGGCTGCGGGGCCAGCCCTGCGCACCGCTGAGCTTGCTGGTGCCTTTGATTGCCGCTGCGGGAGGGGAGGGGGTGACAGCCAGGGACACAGCGCTCCCCGCACATCCCCTCGCCTCCCCCGGCCCCGCAGAGCCCCCAGACCCGCGTTCTCCTGCGCTGCAGAGCCAGCGAGGAGCTGCTGCAAAGCTCCCACCCGGGCACCTCCCGGAGCCAGGGGCTGGCGGCGGTGCTATTTTACATTATTTTATAAGTCTTCCTTCAAATTTCTCTGTGCTACGGAAGCAGGGATTGGAACACCCCCACACAGGGTGTCCCCAAGGCTGTGGCAATCAGCAGCAGGGACAAATTGCTGCGAGGTGGTGGCACCTCCGCCCACCTGCATCCGCAGCATCCACCTGCACTGTCGGGGCTGGAGCCCTGGGGCAAACCGGGACTGTCAGCCCTGCGGGGCTCCCCGTTTTGTGGGGTGGGACACGCAGGAGATGCCGGCAGCCCCCAGCCCCGCAGCACCCGCGATCCCAAGGCTGCGGGGTCCCTGCAGAGCCGCACGAGTCTCTCGGTTCCGCACCGCTCCCGACTGTCGCCCCCTGTCCTGCCCCGCTGCTGCTGAGAGCCCCGACCCCGCAGTGCCGCAATTAAACCTGGGTGCATTTACTTCATCAAACAGCCCCGCTCGTCCCCATGCGAGGACGCTCCTCCCTCCTCCTGCCCCTCCTCCCCTTCTTTCTCCCTCGTCCCAGCTTTAGCCAGAGCAGCCGCTGCTTCCTGCTGTATTTAAGCTGCTTCAGCGCCGGCTCCGTGTCCGGGGAGGGATGGGAAATGAATGTGTAACTTATAAATGCCTTTAAGCCAGAAATGTAAACCATTAACTGCTCATTTGTATACATTATTTTTATATACTGAAGGCCTGTTTAATCTAAAGCAGAACTGGTAATAAAATGTCTCAGCGGATAAAAGATTTGTCTGGGAGAAGGGTTTGCATGGCGGGGCGATGCTGTCATGGAGGGAGGGAGGGAGAAAAGGAAGGAAAGAGGGAGTGAAGGAAGGATAGGGGGAGAAAGGAAGAGAGGGATGGAAAGATGGAGGGAGTGGCTGTGGCTGCCCTATTCCTGGAAACGTCCAGGGCCAGGTTGGATGGAGTATGCGAGCAACCTGGGATCGTAGGAAGTGACAGGATGGAACGAGATGATCTTTAGGGTCCCTTCCAACACACACCAGTCTGGAATTCTAGCATAAACCACCCACTATTCTTTTGAGGACAACAGATCTGAGGTCTGTTCACAGCATAGACTTGTGGGTGCATGACAGCACAGAAATGTTTCAGGATAACTGTCCTCACCAGCCTGGCCACAGCCCCCCAGCCTGCTGGGCTCGTTTATTGGAAGGATTCAGCTCCGTGCAGACAAACAGCTCCCGCAGCAGCAGCAGAGGGGCTGCAGCACTGGGAGGTGTGGGGGGATCCCCAGAGCCCCACCTGCCTCACCCCTGCACCTCCCAAGGCAAGACCGAGCAGCTCCCAGTGCAGCAAGTCCCCTTCAAGGGGACAGGGAGGACAAGGCACTGTCTGCTTGGAAGGAGAGAGATGCCAGGATATTCAGCAAAGCCGGGGCTTGGATCAATCAAAGTTAGTGCTGCCTCTTTAGCCCCAGAAATCACAGAATCCTAGAATATCCTGGGCTGGAAGGGACCCCCAGGGATCATCCAGTCTCATCCCAGCCCTGCACGGACACCCCAACAATCCCACCCTGTCCATCCCTGGCAGTGCTGTCCAAACACTCCTGCAGCTCTGGCAGCCTCGGGGCTGGGACCATTCCCTGGGGAGCCTGGGCAGTGCCCAAACCCCCTCCCTGCATCCCCCAAACCAAAGGGCAATTATTATATAGCACAGTTTAATCAGACCAGGCTCCTCTTCCTAGAAAATGTCTTATTCAGCATCACCATCTTGGTCTCTGGGACAACACATCAAACTACCAGCAACAAACAGAATCTTTTTAGCTTTATTTTTTTTCCCTGTGAAAATGCAGGTCAAAAACATTAACTTCAAGAAATCACAGTTTTATAAAGTGTCATTCATTCCATGCAAGCTCCTCGTTCCAGCACCTTCCCCCACTGCCCATCCCAGAGATCCTCAGCTCCACCTCGCCTCACCAGCAGTGATTTTTCCAGACTTCCGGAAGGAGCTGCACGACAAGAGCCATCTGTGTTTATCACTCCTACTTGTCCTCCCCACCCTGAGCTGGGGTTCTGTCCTAAACACTCGTTATGAAACCTGACAGTTCCAGCCAAATTTGAACAAGGATAATGCAAATCTTCCCCGACTTTCTGCTGTCAGTATTGCCTTCATCTGGAAGCCAGGTTGTCTGTGCCTGTCACAGCAAAGTGACAAGCCAAGGGAAGAGGAAACTGTCCTGGCAGCAGGACAGAGCCAGGGAGAGCTCAGGCTGGCTGGCAGCACAGCCTGGAGATCGTCCCAGAGGAGAACCCCAGCTCAGAGACTGGTAAGGCACCAGTGGTTTGTGGGGCTGCCGAGGTGTCTGGCCCCAGCAGGGACTGTGACACCACATCCCACCCTGAGAGCAGTGAAACAGCCAAGCTTTGGGCTGGGAACCTGCAGCCTCACTTGGGCACTTGTGGTGGCAGCACAACAGGACTGAAAGCTTTGGACAAAACAAAGAGGGTGAATATTGGCTAATGCTGCTGTGAGGGTACCAGGGAGCACAGACATCTCCATGGGCCCTGCAAAGTCATCCTGGGCCTGGGAGGGTTCCCTGCCCTCATGCAGTGGCCTGAGTTCAGGTTAATGCTGCAGCTGCAGAGCCCAGGAGTCCTGCAGACAGTCCTGCTGCTCCAGGGCTCAATCCCAATGTCCAGGCATGGAACTAGATATCAGGACATGGGAGCATCCCCCAGGCAACAGAGGCACAAGGCACAGCCTTTGGGATGGAACCCACAATGCTTTGGGATTGATCCACCACCACAGAAACAACCAACAGTTTTCCTCCTGCCCCCTCAGAGCAAGCTGAGGAAAGGAGCCAGGCATGCACTGAACCTGTGCTTGGGAGCTCCTGGGAGCCCTGGAAGAGGCACTTTGATCCCTCCTGCTCCAGAGCTTAAATTCTTTGTAGTTTATGGCATCTGAAAAAGAAATCGAGCCAACCTTCCCCTTTCCCCTCTCCCTCCTGGAAGACATGTGCATAACGTGTTAATTATTTACTAAAAATCTCTGAATGTGGCATTGTAGATATAATTAGGTGCCTATTTTGGACAAGGTATTAAGTGCTTTAGAACAAAAAGTGCTATAAAAACTATACCCAGAGTGGTGACAGGTTTCATTTTTCTTCGTGAGTTCCACTTTTTTATTACACTACAACTTGATCAGGATGTCACTGTCTGGTGGAGCAAAACCAGCCCATGTTCTGGGAGACCAAAGGGAAAGAGCATCCACCCATTGTTTAAGGCGTGCTGCTCCTCAAAAATGGAGGCTCAGAGCTCAGCTTTTCCCAGCTATTTTCTAAGTGAACTTCCCTTGGGAAGACTGCCAGCATTGCTGCCCTGTTGTGTCTCCCAGACCAGCACGGATCTGGCAGAGCCCACCTTGGCTTTTGGGAGCTGTTTCTCTGCCCAGGCTGGATGCAGAGCCCCTGCTCAGACACAGCCACAGGCACAGGGAGGGACTGTGATTCCCAGGTGTGCCAGGCCTTGGAGCAGCCCTGAACAAGCACACTTGGAGCTCACACCTCCTTGGGAACTGTTCTGGGATGGGGAAGGGTGAACAACACCCACCCACCTGAACTTGACCTGTGAGATTTCAGCATGTTCCAAACATTCACAAATCGGTGAAACAAAAACAGTTCAAAGCTTAAGGCATTCCAGGCCCAGCTGCTCATCCCACTCAGTGAACCCAGTCTGAAGTGAGGGGAGGAGTGGGAAGCCTTGTGAGGCCAGGCTGAGCTCACAGAACTGGGGCACTGGGCTGCACTGGGAGCTGGGTGGGAGATTTTTATAAACTCTGCAGTAAAATTCAGCCCTGTCACAGCTGACAGAGCTCATGTCCCTTACTCCTCCAAGGATGGGACCTGAAATCCCACATCAGAGGTGGGAACAGGATGGAGGAACAACCCCTCCACCCTCCCACCAAGGAATTCTGTACCCTCCTCCTGCTCTGCCTGCCAGGGACACCAGAGAGAGCACCAGCTCCTCCGACACCTGCAGGTGGGAGCTGCAAGCAAAGCTCTTTCTGGGAACAAAGTTCTTTTCTGATTCAAGAAGGAAGCAACTGCGAGGAAGGGTGGGAGGTGAAACCAAGAACCAGCCAGTGACTGCTGTTGATTTTCCCCATGCAAAAGGCTTGAGGTGGAGATGATGCTCCCCAGAGCCTACAGAAACGTTTTTTCCTCCAGCTGGAAGGAAGTCAGCCAGCTCCCCTCGGCACAACCAAGCTCAGCTGCACTGAAGGCACCCAACCTCCTCCTCTGGGCAAGCCCAGCAAAGACCAACCTCACCTCGGAGCAAGAGCAAGAGTTCTCACCCAACCCCCTGCTCTCCTGAAAAGCACAACCTCCTTCCTCTGAAGGAATTTCCACCTACCATTCTCAAGCTCTAACACACCCAAAACAATTCCCATTGTCCTGGGGAATATCTAAGCTCAGGACATGTCTTGGAAGTGGATCAGAAGAGCCAACAGAAGTGAGGTCCGAGGGCAGTGAGCTGTGATCCTGCTGCAGCACAAACACCAGCCACTGCACTTGGTGCTCCATGGCAGGGGAGGTCAGAAGCTTTTGCAATTCCTTCTTTGCACAGGGTGCAAACAAACCTCCACAGCAGGCAGGGTTTCAGGGCCTGTTCTCCAGCTGGCCGTGCTTGACACGCCAGGCCCAGCTGAGGCTGCAGTCGGGGGCCAGCGTGCACTGCAGCTCGATGCCCGAGTCGGGCACCTCCATGTCGTAGTGCACGGGCTGCCCCTCCTTGGTCACCAGGCTGAACGCGGGCACGGGGATCTGTGGGGCACAACACACACACCTCAGGGCACTTCCAGTCTCCTCCACAACATCCCAGCCCTCCTTCACTTCCCAAGACAAGAACAGCTCCCAGGGAGGGGCTCGTGCTTGGCAGGAACATCCTGAACTCCTCTCATAAGGAAACAGCTCGGAACTGGACTGGGCAGTGCCCACCCTGCTGCCAAAGTGCCTCCCAGAGCTCTGGGCCATGGCTGGGGGGTCCTGAGCTGCACGTTTGGGCATCTGAGCTCCTCTCCAGATATTTTGCTTCGTGATGTCCACAAGAACAGAGTCTAGAGAGAGCCAGCACCACTGGAACATTTTATGGACTGGTGCAACATCTTTTAGAGATGATCCCATTTTACACTCAGATGAGTCACAGTCCCACAGACACTCCAGAGTTTCTTTCAGGAGCAGCCAAAGCAGCCCACAGTGAGGTTCACAGGAGTGTGCCAACATCTCCAAAAGAACAAGCTGGAAGCACCCCAGCCAACCACAGCTCATATCCTGAGCTTATGCTACTGCTCATGATGAAAAAGCTATATAATGATTCTTCAGGGAGAGGGGAAAGAGTTCATAATTCTTTCTCTTTATAGAAAGAGGAGAAGGATTTTTTAAGCTGCAGCATAGGTGCTTTCTAAGATAGAGATCCCTGTGGTCACTCTGACAACTGGCACTGGCTTAAAATTCAGGTTTGGTACTAGGTTTAGGCTGGATATTAGGGAAAATGTCCTCACTGCAAGAGTGGACAAACATTGGAACAGGCTGCCCAGGGCAGTGGTGGAATCAATCACCATCCCTGAAAAGGTTAAAAAAACGAGTAGATGTGGCTCTTGGAAATATGTTTTAGTGTGCCTGATTGGATTTGGTCAAAGGTTGGACTTGCTGATCTTGGAGGTCTTTTCCAACCTTAAAGATTCTGTGATTCAGGAAACATCCTCTGGGATGCACACT